TAATTAATCCTTTCCTCTGCACTTCTAGAACTAAGTGAGGAGGCTCAACATCACCCCTCCTCCACTTGCAAACGGCTCTGGTGCATCATACTTTTACCGAATTCTCAAACATACACCTCTGAAACTTATTCGCATTGTAATTACTTCAGTTCAATACCTTGGGCAACGCCCGCTTCACAGAAAGGCGTCCTTTGCATTGCGGGATCTATTTTGGACACTGGAATAGCGGACCGTTATTGAGTACATAAAGGTTCACTGAGATCAGCATAAACACAGCACATAACTAGAAGCGTCATTTAGTCACAAACAAACATGCATGTAGTCCTCAACAGTGAAATGCTGGTCCATCCTGATTGTATATTTATTTATTTATTTATTTCAATACCTTCAAGGCCACACGGCATTACAGAAGGCAGTGGGGGAAAAACAAAAGTACAAAAAATAGAATTCAACACATATTAGTTAACATAATAGTTTTCAATGGCAGACTTGAATGCAGGAGCGTCTGTGATTGTGGCAATGGAGGTGGCAGGTGGTTCCAGTCATTAGTAGTTCTTGGGATAAAAGAATCAAAAAAGAGCTTCGTGCGACTGAAAGGAACGTTGACTTTATGGTGATGATCATTTCGATGGGATACATACGATGGTTCAGAAAAAAGCTCTTCACTTAGATGCTGGTTGTGATGATAAATTTTGTGAAATAAGGACAAACGAGATAATTTTCTACGCAATTAAAGATTCGGAAGATGTAAAGTTAGTTTCATGGATGATACACTGGAAAAACGCGAGAAATTAGACAATATAAAACGTGCGCCACGATTTTGTACGGATTCAATTTGATTAATTAGAAATTCATGGCCTGGGTCCCACACCGAACTCGCATACTCAAGCTTGGATCTAACGAGGGTCTTGTACAGTAGTAGTTTTAATGATGAAGGAGCCCTTGAGAAGTTGCGGCGTAAGTAACCTAGCATGCGATTAGCGTTTTTAGCAATAAAATTAATGTGAGTTTGCCAGGAGAGGTCAGATGTTATATGGACACCTAGGTACTTGTACGATGTCACCTGCTCAAGAACAGAACCAATGTTGTATTGAGGAAAGTTAGTACAGGCAGCTTTCCGTGAAATTCTCATTACTTTACATTTACTGGCATTAAGGCGCATTTTCCAGACGTCACACCAGTTAGTAATGGAATTTAGGTCAGTCTGAAGAAAAGACGTATCAGTATCAGAATAGATTACACGATAAATGACACAATCATCTGCAAACAACCTTATGGATGACTGGACATTGTTAACGAGGTCATTTATGTATATGAGGAAAAGAAGGGGGCCGAGGACGGAACCTTGCGGCACACCCGAAGTAACAGGGCAGGGAAGAGAGTCTGAGTCGTTTGCAGTTACAAACTGTGTTCTGTTAGAGAGAAAATTTTCGATCCATGCAAGAATGTTAGAGTCAATGTTTAGTTTTTTTAATTTTAAGCAGAGCAGTTGGTGAGGGACTAAATCAAAGGCTTTCGAAAAATCAAGAAATATGCAGTCGATTGAAAGGTTATTGTCTAGCGCAGAGAGAACATCGTTCGTGAAACAAACCAGTTGCGTTTCACATGAGAATGACTTACGAAAACCATGCTGACGATATGTGAAAAATGAGTTGGATTCAAGAAAGTTAACTAGGTTAGAATAGATGATATGCTCCAACATTTTACATGGGACACTAGTTAAAGATATAGGCCTGTAATTAAGAGGAGAGTGAGCATCACCTGATTTAAACAAAGGTACCACCTTACCCACCTTCCAATCGCTGGGCAAAAACAAAGATCTAGGGACTGCGAGAAAAGTTTAGACAGTATTACAGAAGAGAGCATTTCAGTGTTCTTCAGAAATTTAGAATTAATCCCGTCAGTTCCAGATGAAGAAGAAACTTTTAAATTTTTTATTATGCTAAGCACACCAATGCAATCAATTATAACAGGATCCATAAGTGGAAAGGCTGCAAGATTATATTCAGGGCAAGAAACAAAAGACTGTGGCATGAAAGACTGAGAAAACACATCATTTAGTAAATATGAACATTCGGACCTTGGAACGGAGACTCCATTATCGTTGATTAGCGATATCACACTCTCTTTTTGTCCACCAATTATATTCCAAAATTTCTTAGTGTCATTTGTCAATAAGGATGGTAGGGTATCATTAAAAAATATGTTTTTGGCTTTTACCACTTCATTCTTAAAGAGGGTTGCAACATTCTGATACGCACACAACAAGTCCGGTTTATTGAACTGCTTTGCTTTGCGGAACAGTCGTTTCTTTTTATTTCGCAGGTGCTTTAAAGAAACAGTAAACCAAGGGGACCTGTTCTTGTACGGTATAATTCGTAGGGGTACGTATTTGTTTACAAGATAATTAACTTTGACTTTAAAAATAGACCAATTGGATTCTATAGTGCGATTAGAAAAATTCTGCATATATTCGTCCAGAAATTGCGCCAATTCATCATTGATGGCAGGTTAGTTAGCTTTGCTGTAATCGCGTATACGTTTAGGCATACTCTTAAGGCGATGAGAATTGCCTTCAAGCGTGAAGTGAACAATGCAGTGGTCACTCAGGCCTGGTAAAAAAACTTAGAGAATGAACGAGGTCAGGAGTAGTTGTGAGAACGAGATCCAATATGTTCGAACTTGACGCGGTGACCCTGGTAGGTTGAGTTATTAACTGAGAGAAATTAAAATCTGTGCACAAATTTATGAACTCAGATGTTTCACCGGAAAGGTCAGACGGAACAGGGCACATACCAGACCATAATATTTTCGGAAAGTTAAAATCACCTAATAAAAAAACTGGCGAGTGCGGAAATCTGACAACAAGGCTGTTTAAAACGTCATGAAGTTGTGCACAGAAAGTCAAGGAAGCGTTTGGTGGCCGATAACAGGCACAAAAGATCATGTCACGGTGAGTAATGCGTACACACACGCATACCATTTCCAAGCATGATGCATGAGAGATATGATAAGAGTGCAGATTTTCTGCGCGGCTATTAATACACCTCCTCCCAATCTATTAACGCGATCAGACCGATAAATATTAAAGGTCTTCTCACACTCAAAAACTTCTTTGTTATCAATTTTGGCAGACAACCACGTTTCAGTTAATATTATTACATCGGCGCTACACGTGTCGATTAATGCTGACAGTTCCTCTCGTTTGTTAACGACACTGCGGATATTTGAAAAAAGAAAAGGAATTTCGTGCTAAATTTAGTCTTGAAAGTGCTAGTCGTTCGTATTTTAAAACGTACTGTGTTGCCTCTTTAGCGTATTTTGTACGGTACCAAAACACGCGTTTGAGTGGAAAATTATTTTATGCAAATATCATAACACTTTATTGTTTTCGAATGTATATAGTATAATTAGAAACATTAGAGGGTATTGCAGGGTGTTTTTGTGCGGTACTTGGTTTCGATAGCAACTGTGTATTATCCAGTGGATGGACAATAAGTATTGGCAAATGTAAAGGAGCTTCTGGTACCGCTACAGCTACAGACAGAGTCTCTTTTTTCTCTCTCTCTCTCTCTTTTTGTTAATAAAGAAGGGGTTTCCTATGAACGTTTTACTCTTTCCAGCTCAACGATTTTTGTCGAGATTTGTCGGAACCAGTCACTCGACGATTCGCGGAATGCTGTCATCACCATTTTTTTTTTTTTTCACATCGAGCAGTGTTTAAATAAATGTATTGTTCTCTAAAATATCAAGATGTTATTGTGTTCAAAATCAAATCTACTAAACCATGATGTCGTGCAAAAAAAAGCAAAAAAAAAAACAGGGTTCTTTTATTAAGGGGAACGATGTACTCGCGCAATTTGGCAGATGGTCTGATGTAAATTAATTGCCTTAAAATTAATGTAAACAAAACCAAGGCACTCGCATTTCGGTCATTGAATAAGCACGTCTCCTTCACTAAATCCCTTACGTTAAGTGGTACAGTAACCGATATAGTTAAGCACCACAAAACGCTGGGTGTAATTTTCTTTGAGCATCTGTCGTGGGATTGCCATATTGATAATTTGGTCAGCAGGTTGTGCAGAGTCAATGGCGTTATTAGAAGATGCCGCTCAATATTGCCAGTTAACATTAAACTCATGATTTATCATGACCTTTTCCGGTCTCATATAAAGTATTGTCACCTCGTGTAGGGCACCACAACAACTTTAAATTTAAGCAAAATAGTGTTACTTCAAAAAAGATACTACGCATCATCGCGGATGTACACTACGTATATCACACTAAACCGCTGTTCGAAAAATTCAAGATTATTGCCATTACAAATGTGCACGTGTATCGTCTTTTGTATGCTTTCCTTTTCGCAACAAATGAATTCATTGAATTTCTTCGGCGCACATGGGACTTGAATAAAAAGGAAATCTCGATCAGTATGCGCTGCTCTGAGATATGGTATGTTCCTCATTTCCGCACAAATCTTGCTTTACAAAGCCTTCGCCATAAGTTACCTTTTCTACTCAACAGGTACCATCTAGAAAACATAGATACATACTCCCTCACTAGAGCTGAATTGTGCATGTATTTTATCTAACGCGGAAGTCTCTGTATCACATATTTCTTTTTCTCGCTTTCGCATAATATGCTTGCTACCGAACGTTCCTGCGCTCTCACTTGTTTACTCTGTTTATTGTTACTTACGTACGTACATGCCTAGTTGGTAAGCGAAACTGTATGCTGTATCACGAGTCTTTTCAATGTATAGCACTTTTCAGCCAGATTGCTATGGTTGTTTTGCTTTAGGGCCCCAGGCCCAATCAAGTTACCATATGGTAGCTTTTGGTCTAAAGGCCCGCCAGAGTAAATTTCTGGAAATAAAGATTTCATTTCATTTCATTTCATATTTCCATGTATAAATTTTGAACTCTAACTTCTCTCCAGTGCAAGATAGTTGTTGCAAGTACTACTCGCGCAACATGACCTGTTTCTTTCTCTCACTGCAGAGGAAACAGAGCCGGCGAAAGTGGACTCTAGCTTGGCAGCTCTGACCCGCATGGCACAGAATGCGGAGTGTCTGGACACCATCTTGGCCGGCCTCAAGAGGCACATGGAGGGCATCATCAAGCTCACCTCCCTCGTGGACGGAGACCGACTTCAGAGGCCCCTAGCGGTGCTCTTCAACAAGCTGCTGCTAGTAAGCATCCGATGTAGCATTTTAGTTTCGTCTCTATATAATCTCGAGACGGGCTGAATTGATCACCTCGCGCACATTTTCACTACGCGCATAGTCGCGGCTCCTTTGCAGTGCTCATTTATTCGCAATTTCCAATCTCGTGCGTTTAATACCCGTTCCTTTGTTTCACAGTTAGGCCGCCAGGACGCGTCAGATTTCGGTGCACACATAGACAAAGCAATTAGTTTTTACTGAAACAAAATATAAAGGGGGTGTGAGTTACCTAGATGCGGTTTGCACTGTCTGTTTAAGGGACTTGGCGGGTAACAGATGGGAGAATAACCATCACAATCAGTAAATTAGCTCAAATTTGTTAATCCACTTTTTGATTGTTGGTTTCACGGATCATGATGCAATTGCTGTATTGACGGCAGCTACCATCAGAGGCTAAGCCAATTGAAAGATTTTGAGAAAAAAGCAACATGCTTTGAGATAATCATCCATCATCTTTCGCGTTTCTTGTCGACCGATACCGAAACTCTATCCAGGGAAAGCACCGTGAACCCAGACCCCAGTCATGACTATAAGAGTGACGTTTTCGTTTCTGGCACATCGTCACTATCTCGGCAGCACCCCGTCGGCGCATTCACCAAAGACGCGCTGCCGGGATAGTTCTGACCAGAGGCGTACCAACTTGTTCTTGAGTGTGTGTGTGTGTGTGTGGGGGGGGGGGGGGCAAACCAGAACCCCCCCTTTCCCCCCATGGCCGGGGCGGCGCCATTGGTATGCCTGTGGCACCGCCGGCTAGTGTTTGCCGTGCCCAGTGGCGGCTTTTTCAGGAGGGCAAAACATATGCCTTGCCCCTTGCCCCCCCGGTTGGTACGCCCATGGTTATGACTTCAATGAAACGACTACGTCATTCTTCTAATCCCCACCGTGGGTACGACTAAAAAGCTTCCAATGGGTTTATTGATAAAAAAAAGTTGCGCAGAAAACCGGAAGCATTCTGTGCGTTCGCTGCGTAATTCTCAGCATGGCATCGTTTCGCGTATCGTGGGACTCGCAGTGACGGCGATGGCAGCGGATGACGGGCGTGGGACTTCTACTTCAGAACTTTCGTTAGCGGTACCGGCGAATTCTGTCTTCCTTTGAAAGAGAAGTTTTGGACCAATCAAAAGAAATGATATTCATCCCGTACGACACGCCCGACCAGCAAGCCGACTGCAAGAAGACGTCGCCGAGCCGTCGTCCCTTCTCGTGGCTGAAGACATCACTCGCTCAAACGTCAAGCACGAAGTGCGTACTTCGAGTTGAATACGCACGCGTACGGTTTCTTTACTATCTGCGAATGTGGCAAATGAGTGGTACTGCCCGACTTCAAGCCGGGAGTGCATGTACTGGAGGGAAATCAGCAGCAAACGTTCTGACATACAGTCGACCGGCTGCATCACTACGAACGTAGGAGTTCCTTCAGTAGCTCAGTGGAAAGACGTCCGCTTCACACGCAGCGGGCACGGGTTTGGTCCCTGGTGTGGGTGTATCTTTTTCTTTTTTCTTGTTTTTTGTCAAGCATTTTGCAATGTTTACATTTTTTTTTTTTTTTTGCAATTATCACTGAAACAAACAATTGTTGTGGACGATACGTCACTGAACTAAATGGTATGGGATTCCACTTTTTAAACCAGCGAACTCAATTTAGTCACTTTCCACAAAATGCAAGGAGCATATGAATCGGGTAGCGTCCGCTTTCCGAGCTTCGCGTAACTGTTCTATCGAAATTGCAGCCAGCCATTGATCCCCACCCGTTGATCTTTCGGAAACTTTTGCCCTCATCCGCACAATGGCAGTTTCAGATGCAGGACATGTGAGGCAGCTCTTCACGCAACATCTGGGGAGTGCTCTTTTCGGAGTGGATCACGGGAATTCACCACGGGCACTCACGACTAATTGCCAACACTTAAATGTATAAAACAACTAATCTTGAAGTACTTAACAGCGAGCGGAACAAACATAACTGCAAAGGAATCGCACGGCAAAGGGATCCCGCAACACATTTCGTCTGCTGCGTGCGGAAAAAAAAAAAAAAAACGCGCGGTCGGGTGTAGCCACGTGACTTCCGCCACTCACTCTCTCCTCTCTTCTTCTCCGTGCGGTAAGGGAGTTTCGGTTTCGGTTTCGAGCAGTTGCATTTTTGGCTTTATGAAAAAAAAATATACGTGACTCTGTAGCAAAATATTAATTGGGGTCGTGTTCCCACACCATAACAAATCGTCTGCCAAAAAAAATTAAAAAAAAAAATTTTGGGGGGTGTCAGTGTCCCTTTAAGGCCCCGTGAACGATGTCGTAAGCACTCCCATACGAAATATTAAGCTTCCAGGAAATGTCCTTGAGGTGTACAGGTCAATCCGCTTTCGCCATTGCATCCACGCGGGAAATGTTGTCGTTAGTCAGCGACGAATGCGGCCTCTCCGAACGGTCATTGTCATGCAAGTCTTCACGGCCTTTTGCCTCACACTTCTCAGAGCAAGACACCTTTCCCCATACGCGAGCTGCAATTCTCTGTGGATTTCGATGGGCGTTCGTCCTTCGCTCCATAGAAAACGAATCACACCTCGTTGCTCGTGAGTCGTACGCCATGGACGTGTGAAACACAAGCGCCATCTTCAACAACTGACAGCAGCGCCGTGCCGCGGAGCTACCTGCAGATAAGGCTGGGCCAGTCCAAGAAAGGTCCACCGCGGGAATGGACATGTTGACTTCGCATTTACAGCCGTAAATTGGCGAAAATATAAACAATAGGGGCAAAGACTTTCTGATTCGCCCTCGTATAGTACCAACTAGCTCAACTCAAACCAACAATTGCTTCGTAACTTGGGCGCGAATGGGAATGTGTGCATTCTGCCGCTCCGTGTACGGGCGGCGCGGGTTTATCTGTTTGCTAGGATGACGTCGAGGACCACATCCTAGAGGACGTCAAAAACGACGTCTAGGACGACCTCTATGGCGATCTCAAGAAATACCTCTAGGACAACCTCAAGGACGACGTCCAGGAGGACGTCCAAGACGGCGTCGTAGAGGGCAAAGTCAAAGACGGCGTCTAGAACAACCTCTAGGGCGATCTCAGGGACGACCTTTAGGACGACCTCAAGGACGATGTCCTAGACGATGACGTCAAAGACGACAATTAGGAGAATCTCTAGATTGACCTCCAGGGGGATCTCAAGAGCGACCTCTAGGACTACCTCAAAAACGACGTAGAGTACGACGTCCTAGAGGATGAAGTCCAAGACGACGTCTAGGGCGACCTCTCGGACAACCTCTAGGACGACGTCGAAGATGGCATCCGCATACACGCGGCATGCAGACGTCTGCGTAAGCGGAGGCGCAGCGCCGCCGGCGGCGTTGAATCGCCGCATAAATACATACTCGGCACATTCCAGGCCAGATACAGTATCGCGAAGAACGGATGAAGTGGCTAAAAAAGGCTATCGCATTAAAATGACTGTTCAATATTTCAACTTTTCAACTCGTCAGGCTACGCGGTCGACACGAGGAAAGAAATTTGGGTGCGGGGGGAAAAGGAAAGCGGGTTATCGGATTATCGTTGGCGCCGAGTTCCGCCAGTGGAATCCGGACGGAGAACAACAGACAGTCGCAAAGAAAAGCAATACATGAGACAAAATACAACACAATTCGTCGTGAAAGTATCTCATATGTGGTTTCTGCACACCATCGCGCTCGCCCACTCCTTTTTGTCCTGTTTTAATACAATATCTACTTTCCCAGTTGTATTTCTCTCGGGTATGGATGAAAACTTATACCTTTTCGGTCGCGTACGTTATTTAACCGCTGAGAAAACAATAACGGACCACCGTGCCGCGTCCGAAAACAAGCAATCACACCGTACCGCTATGACGCGCGCGATGTAAAAAAAAACAAAAAACGGCATCCTCACATTCCGGGGATCACGTGACATTCACGTGCTGCTCAGTGGCGGCCACTATCGTGGTTCTCGCCGCGAATCCCCGTTCCCCCCGCCGTGTTTCCGAGAGTGCCAAACTGACCTATAGCGAGTTCGTTTCACGGCACTCGTGCCCACCAGTGTTGCGGAGTTGCCACTCCGGAGTTGGAATGATTCCGGAATCATTCCGCATTTTCACGACCCCGGAATGGAATGGGAATGGAATGGCGGCAACGTTGAGGGGAATGGAATGGGAATGGAATTAAGTGCCTTTTGCCCGGAATGGAATGGGAATGGAATGGGCACGATTCTTCTTTTTTTTTTTTTTTTTAGTGTTTATGGTTAGCTAAACCGAGCCAGTCAGCGAGTCAGTTGCTCAGAAATAAAATGAGCGGGAAACTGCTAGCCCGCGTGGAGCCCTAACAGACTTATACGCCGAAAAAATGCAATACAAAAACAAGCGTCAAAGCAAAGAGCAAAGGGAGAAAGGGGGGTAGCGCGGCGCCTTTCACGGACGCGCAGGCGTCGGGCTTCGATGGCGTTACACGAGAGCGAAACAAGAAACCAAGCACCAAGCAAAAGAAAAGCGAGTGGCAAAGAAAGAAACCGCCATGCACAACTCCTCATCGTCCTTCTTGTCATGCTTCTTTTGTTGTTGTTGCGACGGTTTGTAGAATGAACGCGCGCGCACAGACTGAGATCTGGGAGCGGAAGCGACTCCTAACTCGCAGAGCTCTGATAACTCGTTGACTCGGGCGCCGTCGAAAGATGATCAGGTATTGTTTTCTTATAGTTCGAGGCGCGTTGTTTAGCAGGCAGCCAACCCTGCTGCCTTCCACATTCATTCGTGCGCACTCCTTTGAAGTGCGAAATGTGGGTTTGCTTCGGCATTAAAACAAAGCGAGTTTCACTTCCCTCTTCTCCTCTTGCGCTTTGCTCCGAGGCTTGTTTTTTTATACTGCATTTGTAGTGTAAGTCCGCCTATTACTTGGTCTTCGTTCCGATGCTTGTTTTCTGTGTTATATATTTTAGTGGGTTGGGGTTACAAGCAAGCTAGCGG